ACTGAGAAAAAGTGCTCCATGACTTCAGAGTACATCCATGCAGAGTCCATCATTTGGGTTTTTGACATTTAATAAGTTTGCTTAAAAAATCGGTAAAACAGAAAAAAAGCATTTGCAAGTGATTAAGGTAAGCCCCGTGTATGTTTGAGTGAAAGTACTACTTCAGGCACGATGCCTCCTGATTAACAGCTATGCAGGGAGGAAGGGCCCACACCGCTACAGTACACTTCTGATCCCGTTTGTTTTACTACCCGTATCTAAATAAATACCTTTGATAATAGGTAACTGCTCTCTTACTAAGAGATAGTCTCTATCTGTAGAAATGTATTTTGAAAACACGTATTTTGCACAGCAATTTTGTATCCATTTAAACTAAACTTTTATCAATAAAGCACCACTGTTTACATATTAAAAAAAAAAGAAAAGAAAAGAAAAGAAAGAGGGGCAGAATCCCCCACTGAAGGCCAACCAAAGACAACATAGAGGTTGGCTGCTACATAAAAGGAGAGACAGGAAGGCTGAGGAGGCCTCTTGGTGGCTCCAGGCACACAAAGCATAGTTAAACTGAGGGATGATCAGGACAACCGATGTCCCTCTCACAGCGCCAGGCAATAAGCAACACCAGTCTACCACTAGCAGAAGGGGTAACAGTATGGAGAGAGATGCCCTCTGTAGCATTGGGGTGCAGAGACAGCAGAGGTCTCCGAAGGTGAAGCCTGAACACAGAAAACTTTGGAATCCTAAGCAGTTCATCACTAATCTGAAACCTGTGATACATTAGGTAGTGACAGCAACAACGAAACACACATCTACCTCAATTCCTGACTGCAATTAAAATTTTATACATTTGAAACTTTTAGTTTGTGTACTGTGTGCAAATATTACTGTAAAAATTTTTTGGAAAAAGAAAAAAAATTCCTGTATCCACTTCAAGAGTTTCTTAACTCTAATACAACTATTTACAAATTTCTCCCTTATATACACACTTACACATGCCACGTAAAACGAACTATAAAGATGGATGGTAAAGTGACCTCCCTAAATTGAATGACTGTTCTCCCTACAATCTCTTCTTCTTTCTCTGCTTTATTTTTCTGTATAGCATTTATTGCCATCTAGCTACCATAATAGTTTGCTTATTTCATTCATTGTTTTTTCCCCCCCCTAAATCGAACGTAAACTCCATGAGGGCAGAGGTTTTTTTGGCCTGGTGTATTCAGTGCTATATCCTCGATGCTTAGAAAGTAACAGACACTCAAATATCAAATGAATTAACCATTAGGCCAGGCACGGTGGCTCATGCCTGTAATCCTATCACTTTAGGAGGTCGAGGCGGGCAGATTACCTGAAGTCAAGGGTTCTCGACCAGCCTGGTCAACGTGGTGAAACCTTGTCTCTATGAAAAATACAAAACTTAGCTAGGCGTGGTGGTATGAGCCTATAATCTCAACTATTTGGGAGGCTGAGGCATGAGAATCGTTTGAGCCCAGGAGGAGGAGGCTGCAGTGAGCAGAGACTGAGATCACGCCATTGTAAAACTCTGCCTCAAAAAAAAAAAAAAGTTTTTTGAAACTATCCACATTAACATCTTTGAGAACACCATATTTCTGAAATCACTAGCATACATTCCAAATTCTACAGTGCCATTCTCTAACATATCACAGTATTACAGTCAGTGCTTAAGATATAAAACCACATCTATGAAGTTACATATCACCATGATAGAAACAACTTTTCATTAAAACTAAGGATACTAAAAACTTGGGCTAAGATTAGCTCTCTCAGGTGATCCTATACATTCCCAAACTCCAAAGAAAGATAGAGCTTGTTTCTGTTTTTTTCTGGGGAACTTCTATTCATGTTTAAAAACTACTTTTTAAAGGCAACAATGAGAATAAGCCAAATCAACAACAAAAAAAGCCTTAACTTTTCTTGAGGTCATTTTGAGCTGAAGTAATTTAAATTCCAAAGAATGATAAAGCCCTCCAAGAAGAGATGAGGCATACAAACTCTATCACTGGTAGCAGGGCCTGGGAAGGCTTGGCACAGTGGCTCATGACTGTAATCTTTTAAGCATAAATATTTTGTGACACACTCACACTTCAGATAATCAACTCATCCTTTGGGTTGTCACTGAGTCTTGTATACTTCTCAGCTATTAAACCTGTCAAGGTATAACTGCAATTAGTTTACAAAGCTCTATCCCCATTTAGGATGTGGGCTCATGATCTACAACTATGACTTTATTGGTCTTTAAATATACAGTTCCCAATTAAAAGTTGGGCTATATTAAGTGTTCAACAAATATTTATCAAACAAACAAAAAAATAAATTAATCTCATAAAAATACAGTTAGAAAAACCAAGTTGTTCGTTTATTCAGCCCTTGTTAAAAAGTTATACCTGGAAGGGGCTTTAAGATAGCTAATTAGAGTCATTTCATACACCATCCACTAAGAGGAAGAAAAATATTAAGTACATAGGCCAGATGCAGTGGCTCATACCTGTAATCCCAGCACTTTGGGAGGCTAAACAGGTAGATCCCTTGAGTCCAGGAGTTCGAGACCAGACTGGACAACATAGTGAAACCCTATCTATACATTAAAAAAAAAAAAAAGCTGGGCGTGGTGGCATGCTGCTAATCCCAGCTACTTGGGAGGCTGAGGCACAAGAATCACTTGAGCCCGGGAGGTGGAAGCTGCAGTGAGCCGAGGATGCACCACTGCATTCCAGCCTGGGTGACAGAGCTAGACTCGGTCTCAAAGAAAAACATATATATATATTAAACATAAAATCACAACTTGAATAGAAGATCATCCAATGGAATTCAACAGAAATGTGACAGGAAATGGTTAAAGCAAAAAAGAAGAAGAAAGCAAAGCAGACTGCTTGTCCAGGATCACCTGGGAGCCAACAGAGACTCCTCAAAATGAAAAGAGGAAAAGTGAGAGACCCTTAATAGTCTACATTCCCACAGTGGCCTCCTGCAATCCTAGCAATGGAAGAACACTTTGATCCTCATGGGCCCTGAAACTATGCTGAGCTGCTGGGAGACTGTAAGACAGCACTGCTCTAGAGAGAAAGCTCATGCTCAGTACTACAAATTCCCTGAGACCTAAAGAGCTACAGCAAGGCACTATTGTAGAGCCCTAACCCGGACAGGCTCCAAACTATCCTGGAGCCCAACAGTGCTGGGCTGAAACACAAGAGAAGACTGAACTGCATGCAGACCCCAGGGCATAACTGCAAAAGACCCTGGCCTACCACATCTGGATCTGATACATAACTGAGGCAAGGGCTACTACCATCAGCACCGAGATGCAGGGGCCAGTGGTGCATATGTTCTCCATCTGCCAGTCAGGGCTGTCTGCCACTGAAGGCAACACCGTCCTCATGAGTGGAAGGGCAGCAGCATAGCTGCCACCACCCCCTACACAAGCATTCACTGATAACTTGGTGATCACCTCATGCCTGCCTACCACAGCTGGCACCTGCACACACTATCAGAGGACCGTAGTACAACCCCACCCAGCCTGGGTTGCCCCAGCTCCATACCAAAGCAGTGAACAGCCCAGAACACCACTGTTGGGACCAGAACTCCTTTCAGGTACACGGGATTAAGCCTACCTACCCAGTCATTACCACCACAGGTAGCACCTGGAGACTGGCAGTCTAGATCACTGCAGCAACTGTCAACACCAGTGCATATTGCTTGGGACACAGATGCTCTGCCACTTTCACAGCCCATGTCACACTGGATGCCCAGTGGCCAAGAACCCAATAAATAATTCAGAAACTACACACACCCAGAATCAAAGCCAAAGAGTACCACCCAAAGAATGCTTCAGCTAACATCTTCAGGAGAAAGTCATTCCATGCAAAAGCAAATTGAAACAATTCAAAGAAGTAAACTGCTATAACAGATGTGAAGATATCAATTTAAGGACACAGAAAACATGAAAAAGCAAGGAAATATGACCTCTCCAAAGGAATACAAGAATTCCCCAGCAACAGATCCCCTCCCTCCACAAAAAAAAAAAAAAAAAAAAAAAAAAAAAATCACAAACTCCTGGAAAAGAAACTCAAATTATCCATTCTAAAGAAGCTCAGTGAGATACAACAGAATTCTGAAAAGCAATACAAAGGAGTCAGAAAAACAGTTAAGGATACAAACAAAAAATCTACCAAAAAAACAGATAGCATTAAAAACAAAGAGGCCAGGAGAAGTGGCTCACACCTATAATCCCACCACTTTGGGAGGCCGAGGTGGGCAGACTGCTTGAGCGCATGAGTTCAACACCAGGCTGGGCAACATGGAAAAACTCTGTCTCTACCAAAAATACAAAAAATTAGTGAGGCATGGTGGTGTGTGCCTATAGTCCCAGGCCAGAGGTTGCAGTGAGCTGAGATAGCGCCACTGCACTCCAGCCTGGGCGACGGAGCAAGGGACTGACTAAAAATTAAAATTAAAATAGAAAACAAAACAGAAATTTTGGAACTAAATAATTTATTGAATAACATACAAAATACGTTTGCAAGCTGCAACAAAAGACTGTTCAAGCAAAAAAAAAAGAATATCAGAACCTGAACACAGGACTTTTGAAATAGACAAAAATAAAGAAGAATTTTGTTAAAATAAGCAATGCCTTTTTGACATATGAAATACCTCAGAGTGCCCAAATATTCAAATAATTGGGGTCCCAGAAGGCCAAGAGAGAATGAAAGGATTTTAAAACCTATTTAAAAAAAGAATAGATGAAAACTTACCAAGTCCAGCAAGTGACATAGATATTTAGACACAAGAGGCTAAGATCCAAAAAGGTCTTCTTCAAGGCACATTACAATCAAACTGTTTATAAAGTCAAAGACAGAGAGAATTCCAAAAAGAGCAAAAGTGTCTAATCACATATAAATTAGAAACCTTCATCAGGCTACCCGTAAATTTCTCAGCAGAAACCTTATAGGACCAGAGAGAATGGGAGGATATATTTACACTGCTAAAAGAAAAAAAAAAAAAAAAAAAAAAATGCTAGTCAACGACACCATATTCAGTAAAATTATCATTGACAAATGGAGGAGAAATAAAATGTTTCCCAAAAAAGCAAAAGCTAAAACAATCTATCACCACCAGATCTGTTCTACACACACACACACACACACACACACACACACACACACACACACACAATGCTTAAGGGAGTCCTAAAACTAAATGTTAACGAACAACATTTACCATCAAGAAAACACACAAAAGTGTAAGTCTCACTGGTAAAACAAACAAGCGTATGATGAAGATAAAATAATCAAATAACACTGCTACAGAAAACTACCAAACCACAAAGACAAACAACAAGAGAAAATGAAAGAAACAATAATGTAACAAAACCACCCAAAAACAATCAACACTATGACAAGAACAAAGGGTCACACCGTAATATTAACTTGGAATGCAAATGGATTAAATGCTCCACTAAAAAGACACAGACTAGATGAGTGGATGAAAGACAGGACTTAACTACATGCTGCCTACAAGAAATGCACTTCATCTGTAAAGACACATACAGGCTGAAACTAAAGGAATGGAAAAAGATATTCCACACAAACAGAATGAAAAATGAATAAGAACGGTTATACTTATGAGTAAAACAAACTTTACATCAGAAACAGTCATAAAGACAAAGGTCATTACATAATTATAAAGAGATTAACACAACAAGAATACTTAACAATTTTTAGTATGTTAAAACTGGAGCATCCAGATTTATAAAGCAAACATTACAAGTTCTAAATAGACTCCAAGACTGTAACAGTGAGAGACTTCAACATCTCACTCTCAGCATTTGATCATCTAGATAGAAATTCATTAAAGTAACACCAGATTTAAACTAGACCTTAAACCTAATAGACTTGACATTTTTAGGACATTTTATCCAACAACTGCAGAATATACAGTATTCTCCGAGATCAAACAAGATCGGATGCATTGAAGGTGATATGGCCATAGAAAGAATACATATTATTCTCATTAGCACATGGAACATTCTCCAGGATAGACCATATGTTATGCCACAAAACGAGACTCATCAAATTTCTAAAAATCAAAATCGTATGAAATATCTTCTCAGACCGCAATGGAATAAAACCAGAAATCAATACAAAGAGAAACTTAGATACTCCTGAATAACCACTGGATCAATGAAGAAATTAAGGTGGAAATCAAAACATGCCTTGAAACAAATGAAAGTGTAAACACAACATACCAAAACCTGTGGATATATAGCAAAAACTGTAATAGGAATCAAGTTTATAGCAATGAACACCTGCATCAAAGGAGTAGTAAGGTTTGAGGCCAGGCACAGTGACTCATACCTGTAATCCCAGCACTTTGGCAGTGGGTGGATCACCTGAGGTCAGGAGTTTGAGATCAGACTGGCCAACATGGTGAAACCCCGTCTCTACTGAAAATAAAAAAATTAGCTCGGTGTGATGGCAGGCGCCTATAATCCCACATACTCAGGAGGCTGACACAGGAGAATCATCTGAACCCGGGAGGCAGAGGTTTCAGTGAGCTAAGATCACGCTACTGCACTCCAGCCTAGGTGACAACAGCGAAACTCTGTCTCTAAATAAATAAAAACAGTAGTAAGCTTTCAGTGAAACAATTTAATGATGCACCTCAGGAACCAGAGCAGGAAGAACAAACCAAATGCAAAATTATCAGCAGAAAACAAATAATACAGATCAGACCAAAAATAAATGAAGTTGAAACTAAAAAAAATACATCAGGTCAATAAAATGAAAAGCTGGTTCTTCAACGAGATAAAACTGATAAACCACTAGCTAGACTAACAAAGATCCAAATAAATAAAATCAGAAATGAAAAATGAGACATTATAACTGATAGCACAGAAATACAAAAGATCAGAGACTATTATGAACAAATAAAAACAAATTGCTTGATCATGGTATATTATCTTTTTGACATGCCATTGACTTTGGTTTGCTACAATTTTTGTATCTAACTTCATCAGGGATGTAGGCCTGTAGTTTCCTTTTACATTGTTGTTGTTGTTGCTGTGTCCTTATCTGGTTTTGCTAATAGGGTAGTGCTGGCTTTCTAGAATGAGTTACTGAGAATTCTGTCCTCTTTAGTTTTTTTGGAATAGTTTGAGGAGGACTGTTATTATTTCTTCTATCTTTAGTAGAATTCAGTTGTGAATCCTTATGGGCTTGGGTTTTTCTTTAATGGGAGACTTTTTGTCACTGATTCAATCTCACTACAAACTCACTAATATACCATGTCAAGCAAGATGTACATAAAGCATGCAAAGGTGGTTTAATATATGCAAATCAATAAATGTGATACATAACATCAACAGAATAAAGAACAAAAACTCTATGATCATCTCAATAGACAAAGAAAAAGCATTTGGTAAAATCCAACAACTAAAAATTCTCAATAAACTAGGCAAAAGAGGAATATACCTCAAAATAACAAAGTTCATATATGACAAACCCACAGATAACATCATACTGACTGGGGAAAAGTTAAAACCTTTTCCTCTAAGAACTGAAACAAAACAAGCATGCCTACTTTCACAAGTCCTATTCAACATTGTGCTGGAAGTCCTAGACAGATCAATCAGGTAAGAGAAAAAAACAAACTGGATCCAAATTGGCAAAGAGGAAGTCAAACTATCCTTCTCTGAAGATGACATGATCTTATATTTAGGAAAACCCAAAGCCTCTATCGAAAAATTTCTTAGAGCTGATACCAAATTCGGTAAGTGCTTTAAATTTTTTCAACACATAAACATTGGTTTCTATATATTAATAATAAAATAGCTGTAAAAAAATCAAGACAGCAGTCGCATTTACAATAGCTACAAAAAATATATAAAAATAAAGATAACTAAAATGAAGGATCTCTACTAAAAAACTACAAAAGACTGATGAAAGAAATTGAAGAGGACACAAACAAATGGAAAGACATCTCATGCTCATGAACTGCAAGAATTAATATCGGTAAAATGTTGGTACCAACTGAAATTTTTTTTAAACAAAGGTTGATAAACTGACTGTTACCTTTTTTATTTTTATTTTTTGCATTACTATAAAGGAATACCTAAGACTGGGTAATTTATAAAGAAAAGAAGTTTACTGGATCAGGTTCTGCAAGCTGTATATGAAGCATAGTGCCAGTCTGCTCAACTTATACTGAGGTCCTCAAGGAGGCTTATAATCATGGCAGAAGGTGAAGGTGAGCCAGTGAATCACATGGTGAGAGAAGAGGCAAGGGGATAGGGGTGCCATACTTTTAAAAATAACCAGATATCTTGTGAACTCAAAGCGAGAATTCACTCAATATTACGAGGAGGATACGAAGCCACTCATAAGGGATCTGTCCCAATGACCCAAACACTTCCCACCAGGCCCCACTTCCAACATTGGGGATTACATTTCAACATGAGATTTAAAGGGGACAAACATCCAAACCATATCAATGACCATACTATTAAAATCAATACACAGATTCAATGTAATCCCTATCAAAATACCAATGTCACTTCTCACAGAAACAGAAAAAAGAGATGCTAAAATGTATATGGAACCAAAAGAGAGCCAGAATAGCCAAAGCAATGCTAAGAAAAAAGAAACAAACAACAACAACAAAAAAACAAAGACAAAAACCAACAAACAAAAACAAAGCTGAAGGCATTACAGCCTGACTTCAAATTATATTACAAGGATATATTAGCCAAAAGAGCAAAGTTTTGGTATAAAAATAACTATACATACCAATTGAACAGAATACATACAGAACCCAGAAATAAATCCAAATATTTACAGCCAACTGATCTTTGACAAAGGTGTCAAGTACATACTCTTAAGACACCTTCCTTCAATAAACGATGCTGGAAAAACTGGATATCCATATGCAGAAGAATTAATCTGAACCCTTATCTCTCACCCTATATAAAAATCAACTCAAGATAAATTAAAGACTTAAATGTAAGACCTGAATCTATAAAACTAGTAGAATAAAACACAGGAAAAACAATTCAGAACACTGTTCTAGGCAAAGAATATACAGTCAAGACATCAAAAGCACAGACAACAAAAATCAAACAAAAAAAGGCCAACAAGATATATTAAACTAAAAATAAAAAAAGCACAGCAAAGAAAACAGAGTGAAGGGACAACCTCTTAAATGACAGAAAATATTTGCAAACTATTCAGAACACTCAAACAACTCAGCAATTAAAAGAAAAAAAAAGCACAATCCCATTAAAAAGTGAGCAAAGCACATCAATAGTCAATTCTCAAAAGAAGACTTAAATGGCCAACAGATATGTGAAAAAGTACTCAACATCCAAAATCATCAAGGAAATACAAATTAAATGGACAATGAGATATCATCTCACCCCAGTTAAAATGGCTATTATTCAAGAGAAGAAAAACAAGAGATACTGTTGAGGATCTGGAGAAAAGAGAACTTCTATACACTGTTGGTGGGAATGTAAATTAGTAAAACCACCATGGAAAACAATACAGAGATTTCTCAAAAAACTAAAACTTTCATATGATCCAACAATCCCACTACTACATATTTATCCAAAGGAAAAGAAATCAGTATATCAAAAAGATACCCACACTTGCATGTTTATCACAATACCATTCACAATATCAAAGATACGGAATCAATCTAAGTGCCCATCAATGGATGAATGGATAAAGAAAATGTGGCATATACATACAACAGGATACTATTTAGTTGTTAAAAAAAAAAAAAAGAATAAAATAAAGTCATTTACAACAGCATGAACAGAACTGGAGATCATTATATTAAGTGAAATAACTCAGGCACAGAAAAACAAATACCACAATTTTTCACTCATATGTGTGAGGTAAAAAACTTGATCTCATAGAGATAGAGAATAGAATGACAGATATCAGAGGGAGGGAGGCGTGTGAGGAGGAAACAGAGAGGTAATTATAAACAACTTGCAGTTAGATAGAAGAAATAGGTTCTAATGTTTGATAGCAGGGTTGGGTGACTATAGTTAGCATCAATATATAGTATACTTCAAAATAGCTAGGAGAGAGCCAGGCATGGTAGTTCATGCCTGTGATCCCAGCACTCTGGAAGGCCAAGGCAGGTGGATCACTTGAGGGTAGGAGTCAAGACCAGCCTGGCCCACATGGCAAAATCTTGTCTCTACTAAAAATACAAAAATTAACCAGGCATGGTGACACAAGCCTGTAATCCCAGCTGCTTGGGTGGCTAAAGCAAGAGAATCACTTGAACCCGAGAGGCAGAGGTTGCAGTGAGCTGAGATCATGTGACTGCACTCCAGCCTAGGCAACAGAGTGAGACTCTGCCTCAAAAAACAAACATGTAATCCCAGCACTTTGGGAGGCCAAGGCGGGTGGATCACGAGGTCAAGAGATCGAGACCATCCTGGTCAACATGGTGAAACCCTGTCTCTACTAAAAATACAAAAAATTAGCTGGGCATGGTGGTGCATGCCTGTAATCCCAGCTACTCAGGAGCCTGAGGCAGGAGAATTGCCTGAACCCAGGAGGCGGAGGTTGCGGTGAGCCGAGATCGCGCCATTGCACTCCAGCCTGGGTAACATGAGTGAAACTCCGTCTCAAAAAAAACAAAAACAAAAAATAACCAAACAAACAAAAAACAACAACAAACTAAGAGAGAACTTGAAATGGTACCAAAACATACAAATAATAAATACTCAAGGTAAAAGATACCCCAAATACCGACTCGATCATTACATATTCTATGCATGTAAAAATATTCACGTGCCTGAAAAACATGTAAACTACTATGTATCTATAAAAGCAAAAAGGCATACCTATAATAAATAAAAAACGGAATTCTTATTATCTAGCTTTAAGTCAAAAATCTAATAGGTTGTAATAACTGACAAATTAAATGTGATTTATTTTGTATTACTGTAAAATCCAATTTTGTACATGTTTTAAAACTAACATAAAAACCAGACAGAAATTTAATCTAATAGCCACTGACATAAATGTTATTGTTGATAATTTGTTATTTATATGTTATGTATGTTATTGACACTTTGGCTTCATGGGTATCTCATTTAAGCATCTCTCATAATTAGTGATGTCTCAGATAATGTAATGGAGAGGTCTGACTCCATCTAAAATGATTGTTTTAGATTAAGAGAGTATAACTGGTCCACTAAAAAATGCTAGTATAATTCTCTGTATTGTTCCAATTTTAGTATATGTGCTGCCGAGGCGAGCACAAAAAAATGCTAGTATAATTCTATAACTTATTGGATCATCAGTAGGAAACTGATAATAAAAATAGCCAGAAACAAATTAATAACCATAGTTGTCCAAATTGAAAGAGCATAACTGTTAC